TCTTTTGCTTTTCAAATGAACCTTTTTTTGTACTTCGTTATCTTTTAGGCATTGAACTTGTGTTCATTTGATACTAAAATGCATAAAAGCTATTACAACCTAGGTCCAATTGGCCGAAAAGTGCAAGTTCGTGTGGAGCACTGCGAAGGAGAATGTACCATCAATTAGTAATGACATAAAGAATAAAAAAAAGTGGCTATCATATCTTAACAGTTCCATTCAGTACACCATTTTTAGTTGTGCGCTGAAGTGGCATGGAACTGCAGTGATATATGAAGTCCTTGCGTAGTAGTTACCACAAATTGCGAAATTTGTCTTGCAGGCTGCTTGAAATTTATTAAATTTTGAGCTTATCTATATTATTATAAAAGCATGAATACAATGTCGATTTACAAAAATAACCTTAAAATATTAAGCATAATGACTCATGATAAAAGGACATAACCGGAATTCTAGATATTAGCCTTATAATACTATTAGTTTTAGGATATAATACTACACATTAGGAATCATACATGATTACCTTTAGGAATCCTATTAGTATAATTACTCTCGGGCTGTCTAATTCATATAAATTGAACAAGTAAATATCATTAGTCATGTAATCTTATTACTTTTAGGATATACTTCTTAAAAATTCCTATTACTAATTTAATTTGAAAATGTATTATAATGTCCTATTACTAATTTAATTTGAGAATGTATTATATTGTCCAAATCCATTTAGAAAAAATGAGAGCCTATATTATTATAAAATCATAAATACAATATTAATACATCAAAATAGCCCTAAAATATGAAACAGAATAACTCATAGGGAAAGGACATTACTGCAATAACCTATTTTTTGGACTATAATACCTTTTATGCTAATTTTTAATATTTAATATTTTAAATTAATAAAACTTTGTCTATTAAATTCTCATTAAAAATATGTAGGAAGTTTTAATAAAATCAATTTCATAAGAATCTTTCGTATTGGCAATACATTACCACTACATAATGTCGAATACAAAGAAAAAATAAAAGTAATATTAAATAGACTGCATAAAGAGTTGAAATTGAGAAAACAATATCCCCACGATAATATATTTTATTTTATATTTGAACTATTTTTCTACTCAAATAATATTTTTAATCAATTTTTCGTGTAATATTAAAAAATACTCAATTATTAAACAACAACTAAGAAAATATTTAAGAATATAAATGTGCGAGAAAGAGAAAAAAAAAAGGTTGGTAAGAGTCAATACCACTAATGATTCTACAATCATAAAGATCTAAAAGTGAAATATCGTATTAATCTTTCTCTTTGAAAATAAAATTTATGGTGGATAAAATTATAATTAAGATTAAATATTCAAAACAAGATATGAACTATTATTAAGATCTGAATCAACATAGAATAAATTATTTTTTATGTTAAAACCAAATAATTAAATCTTTTTATTAATTATTTAGCAAAAGAATCCAATTCAATTATTTCTTAAATTCATCATATGAGTAAATTCTTATTCAAGTTAAAAACAATCTCAGGGTATATAAATTTATTCCATAAAACGAGTGTTAGAACACAAAGTAAAAATGTAGTATATTATTAAGAATCAAAATGCTATACAAGTGTTTGAGAAAGCACAATCAAAGCTATATCCTAAACAAGAACAAGCTTTCAAAACTATATTATAAAGAGTCGACTCTGGTATAACGGAATTATTCTTTGTAGATGCCTCCGGCGGAATCGAAATGATATTTCAATGTCATGAATTGCTTGCAAGTATCATATCAAGAGGCATGACATTGTTAGCAATAATAACAAGTGGTGTACCAACAACGATTTTATTGTGAGACCACCCACTTTAGATTTGATATACATCTTCAAACAACTTAAATAACCATCACAAATATATCAAAGCAGAGCAATTGTGCTAAATTTATAAGGAAAGCAAAATCGATAATATGGGATGAAGCACTTATGGCTAAGTGTCAAACGATCGAAATAATTGCTCGGAGTTCTAGAGATATATTGGATATTAATGAACCATTTGTGAAAAATTAATGGTTTGGGAGGTGATTTCTGTCAAGTAGTACCAGTAGTTCCAAAATCGACAAATGCCGAGACTTTAAAAGCTAGCTTGCCAAAGTTATACTCTGGCCTCAAACGAAAAAGATTCAACTGACAAGAAATATAAAGTAAGAATAGATCTAGTATCCAGTGTCTTCTTGCTTCGTGTCGGAAATGAAGATCATCCAATAAAATATGATTTGGTTCTTCCTGAACACTTGATTATCAATCCCAATGGTAATAGTAGTGCATTTAATAAGAGAAATATTTCTATCATTAGATTTTGTGCAAATCGCATGATAGAATTAAAAAAGAATCTTAGCTAGCAGAAATGAATATGTTGATCAACTAAATAAAAGGTTGATTGCAAAGTTTTATAATGAAAACAAAATATTTTTTAGTTTTTGACTCAACAGAAAATAATACCAATAATTACTACAAAGAAGACTACTTAAATACTTTAATACCAAATGGTATTCTCCCATACATGTTTGTTGTCAAATTTTTTATTTCTTACGTATGTTAGAGTCACGGTATATATAATAGACTAAGTTAAAATTGATCTTCCATTGTATATAGGTTAATTTTGAAGAAAACATATGTCCGCCAAGCTACTGAAAAACTTAGATACGCTGAATAGCTTATGTAATAGCACACATATGGTATATAGAAGTTTTGACAATAATGTCATAGATGCAAAAATTATGATATTGGCTAATGTGCTACTAAGTATATTCGTATCCCTCAATTCAAATTTCGTCTTACGAAACTAAGGAATATCATTTTAAATTTGTGAATAATTTTTAGTATGTTTATGTTTTGCACTAATAAATAAAGCATAAGGACAAACATCATAAATATTGGACTATATTTACCGCAATATGTTTTCTTGCACGAACAACTGTATGTTACACTTTCAAGAGGGATATCAAGATCGACAACAAGAGTTCTGGTTAAGACAGAGCAACCAACGCATTAGGAGGAAACATATACAAAAAAATTTTGTCCACAAAAAAGTGTTCGTTAAGATACCATCATATTAAATACTTTTAAACTATAATACTCCCTCCGTTTCAATTTATGTGAACCCATTTGACTGGGCACGGAGTTTAAGAAAAGAGAGAAAACTTTTAAACTTGTGGTGTAAAATGAAGTACATATATTTTGTGTGGCTATAAATCATTGCATAAAGGTAAATTGTTTCCAAATAAGGAAAGAGGTCATTCTTTTTGGTACGGAGTAAAAAGGAAATAAGTTCACATAAATTGAAACGGAGGGAGTATATAATTATCTAACTAACTTGACAAAATTGATCGTTTGTGTAAGTTTTGATGATGTCTTTTTTATTTTAAATTCATGTATTATGCTAATGTAATAATGTTTTTCGGCATTTAGATGATTGTTGTTTTATTATACATAAAATTTCTCTCATTAATTAAATTGTATTGTTCCTTCATATAAATAAATGTTTAAATCATCACATGACATTATTAACGTGCAACGCACGTTCATAGATACTAGTTGGCTAAAATATCTATTTGATGCGTTCAACTCGCCTGATTGAATGATGCAATGAGATAGCTAAAACTACTTTACATAACAATAAACTTTAGCTTTTCCATAATCATGTGTTAAAATGACAATCATGTGAACTAGGTTTGGTCAGCAATTCTGCAATTTTCTGTTAATATTCATCANGGGGGGGGGGAAGGTTAGCTAGTTGTACTAAGCTCCCGCTATGTGCGAGGTCCGGGGAAGGGCCGGACCACAAGGGTACCCAGCCTTACCCTGCATTTCTACAAGAGGTTGTTTCCACGGCTCGAACCTGTCACCTAGTCACATGGCAACAACTCTACCAGTTACGTCAAGGCTCCCCTTACGAGAAAGAAAGATACAAATAAGGAAGAGACTATTCCTCCTTTTTGATTAGTATTGTTGGATCAACTGGAGATGTTTGTGTGCTATAGTACTTTAAATATGTTCTTTGTGATCCATGGAGTCAAGAGATCCTTTTTGTAATTATTCTCTTACTTTCTCTTTACTTCAGGATAAATTACTTGAAGCTTTTCTTTAACTGTGCAGGATACTGCAAGGGATATCCTTAAAAATGCACCAGGTATAGTTATCATTGATGATCGTGCAAGTAATCGATTTCCAACCCCACTTGAAGTTTCCAATAAGGATGATGTTGCAGTTGGGAGAGTACGCCGTGATGTTTCCCAAGATGGAGATTATGGGTAAGAATTGGTTTATAGGTAAATGTTATCTCTACTTACTTTGCAGGACCTCAAGGCTAATGTCTTCTTTTATATAGATTGGACATCTTTGTTTGTGGTGATCAAATACGTAAGGGAGCCGCCCTTAATGCCGTCCAGATTGCAGAGATGCTGTTGTAGTTTTGCGATACAGCTTCATTAAAAGAAGTTTTTGCGATACAACACCCGAAGGTTCTATTTTTGCTTGAATGTGAGAGACGTAAAACCTGAAGAAGATAGAGATGGTCGTGTTTTCCTCTAACAGTTACATTTTGCTCATTGGGGTTTGTCAGTTTTCATCTATGTTGATTCATTCTAGTTTGAAGAGAAATTTTGCTTCAGACTCGCTTCCGGGAAACTTTTGTTATTTATAATAATTGTGTTGGCTGAGGCTGAGCTAATGAGTTGCCAGTAGATGGCTAAGCGATTCTTCCATATTTTACTTTTGTCCTTTATCTTGTTGGTAATAATTATTCTCCCTTTGCGCAATCGGCCCTGGTTGATAATAACCATGTCTTTTTTCACGAGAGTTCAGTGAAGTTGTATCTAAAACCAAGTTCATTGCTTGAGCTGTAAGTTGCTTTAAGAATTCTGTGATTAGTGCAATCATGCAACCAGTTATTCCATTTCATGTTCTCTGATCAAGCAAATCAGAGTTGATTATGTGTTAAAACACCTATCACTTGGGAATCACATTCAACTTATATTATGCAAAAGCAAAACAATCTTGGTTTGATGTCAAAAAGTCACAAGTGACGTTCATCTTGAATTGACATTTTCTTAAAATCACTGCGGCATCTGTAATTTTACTTTTACCAAACCTCAGAAGTCGGGGGGTTTCAATTGGTTTTTGTGGAAACAGCAATTCTAGAAGGGTAGAGGCAGACATAGGACTTGAGATGTTTTTAGTTTTGTCCCTTGCTTGGTTTACGCTTCAGAGCAAGGAGTAGCAGAACTTTACTGTAACTTGCATCAAGTTTTGAATAAAGCCCTTCATTCTGGTCAATTCTTTCAAACAGTTGATCAACTACACTGCTGCCAAAATGATCTGCTATAAGGCACTCAAAAGCTGCTCTAAGATGATCACTATTCTCTTTGGCATTAATTGGCTGATTCTTCGAAACAAATGGATCTGGTGTCTTCATTATCTCAATGCTGAAGCAGTCATTTCTTTCAACTAACTTTACCATCTCATTTGGAGTTGTGATGTAATAAGGCAAGTTGAAGGAGTCCACTTGAGCTTCACTGATTATTCCCTATAACCGCAAAATTGTTTTTTTTTTTCTTCAAACTGTATAAATTTTGATCATCCAGCTAACAAAATAACCACAGTCTAACTATCAATCCATTAAAATGCACACATTTTGTTTTTACTATAATTGTATGTTATGGTACTGTAATTGTATGGCAATATATATTTCTCTAAGCAAGGAAACTGAACAAAAACAACCTCATTTAGCATAAATATGGTAGTCACAGTTAACAATATATACTTAAGATTTTGGGGAGACCATTAGTAGAGGAATCAAAAGGTCATATTTTACTTAAGTGAATGTTAAATGACTCAGTCAAGTAGTAGTATCAAATATTGATGCAGGATTAAAATCACAATTTTCCATGTTCCTTTGCTAGAAAAAGAGGGAATTAAGGAACTCACATCATTAGCCATATCCATGAGAGCAGAGCCAATGGCATCAAAAGCAAAACCAATCGCGGACTTGGAACGATGAAATCCTTGAGGAATAGCTGGTGTGACAAGTATCAATAACCCTCCAACAACAATCTCTTTAGCTCTGGCATTGAGGAAGTTATTGACATCCTTAGCAAACTGAGCTGCATAAGCTTCAGCTACTTCATCTGATGAAGTTGAATAGAAAATCTTTCCCCTGTTCCATTCCTTGTTTTCTACTTCTATTGGCACTTGTGATAGCCAGCAAAGTGCATAAGAGGCATGCACAATATCAATGGAGGATTCGGGGAATAACCGGCTGTAGAAAGAACCAGGAACACCAGCTGCAAAGTAGTGGTTTTCAGGAGGTAGGGAAGCAAAGAGTGTATTGAAATCGTTTGTGGCAACATCATTGAAGAATACTTGGAATTCAGTAGTAGAGAAGCCTTTTAGTGCATACTTTTTCTGCACTGCTTCTATTAAATTTTGTACTGCAATGTAGGTGTTAGGACCAATTGAACAGCCTAAATCTGCTATTCTAATTGTGCTTGAAGTGTTGGAGATGTCGAGTAACTTGCTTATTGCCTCGTTCACTGCTTCTTTTGTAACCATCAGACCTTCTCTCTGCAAAAAATCATAGGTACGTAAGACTTTCAATAAATGCAAACATTTTCTGTCATCCGGGGATCTCTTTAGTTATTTCAAAGAAAAAGGAATAATCTATAGGCAGTTGAACAAATTCGTAGTAAGTATTACATAATCAAGAATACTACTCCTAGTTACCTGATAAGTGGAGTTTTTGGAGTAGCTGTATGTGCCATCTCCACCTTTCATTGGCAATGGTTTCAGTAAAGAAGATGCTTTGCTATCAGCCATCTTTTACAATCTCTGTTGAAGTTGGGAATTGCAGTGGTAACGAGAATAGGACGTGGGGTGCTTTTTAAGGTTGCTGCAGCCCGGATGACAAATGAATATTCAGTAAATGTAACTTTTTATACATTTGAATGAATGGTCCGAACGACTGTGCCAATATAAAAATTTAAACCTCGCATATAACCTACTTTAAGAAATTATTACTCATATTGTTTTTAATAATATTGGATAAGACGGGCTTAATTAGAGTCATATAGACAATGAAGATTCATATAGCCTACCCAACTTACTTGGGTATGAGAAATTATTATTATTGTTGTTGGTTGATTTGTTGTAGTACACCCATTGTGAGGCTAGTGACCATTTTTACTCCTATTCCTTTCCTTTTGTACTTCAATTGTATCACTCTCAAAGTTAAGAAGGGCGGAATTAAATATTTTAAAAAAGCATCATGTTCAAATATTTCTTTTCTTACCGGGGACAAAAATTTTACGTACTCTCAACGTATTCGAACAAGCAACAAAATAATTACTAATTGAGACCGGCAAGGGGCAGAGGCGGATATAGTGAACAACTAACGGATTCAACTGAACCCATAACTTTCAACGCGGTGTAAAAATTCATTAAAATTGTCAAAATAGTAGATATAAACCCATAACTTTAAAAATATAATGGGTTCAATACTAAAAATCTTAAAGTTGAACCCATAAGATTTAAATCTTGGATCTGACAACGGATATTGTGAGATAGTCGAATCCCTCGTCCTTAATCAAATATTTCGGATTCAAGACTTAGAAACGAAAATCTTTTCAGTAGGATATGCCTTGCCAGTGGGTCTACCTCACGCTATTCAGAATTAGTTGGGCAAGTAAACTTAGATGATTTTATGGCAAGGGCGCGAAGCCCAAGGTTAAAGAGTGAAGTTAACCACCAATGATGTCAAAGCAAGCAAAGATTTGCAGATACTAGTAAGTTTGACAAATCAAATGCTGGCATTGGCTCATTTTCTTATTTGGTATTCGACTGCTAGGCTGTTTATTGCATGTTACCAGGAAACAAAGCCTGCAACAATACAGCCTTGTTTTGCTTATTATTACAGTATATTATATTTGCGTTGAGTACAGAAACCTTCTTGAGATTCACACTTGCTACATTTTTCTAACTCTTAATCCCTCAATTATTGTTCCTCGGTCAGAATTTTACAGCACTTTATCATTTAAGTACCATGATATATACTCTATTTGCAAAAGATAGTGACTAATTATGGTGGGAAGTTTTGCTCTTTTAATTGGGAACATTTGGACCAGAAATCCATGTGAAAATTAATGTTTGGCTCCATTATTAATTGGGAGTTTGGGACGGAAAGGGCAAAAGGAAAAAGGATATTGACACACTATATAATTGACAAGATAAATACTTACCATCAGACCAAACAATTTACCTTTAAAATTAAAAAATTAAAATGAAAATACAATCTGAGCTCTACTAGTTAATATTATTAATTAAATAGTCATGCATAACTAATACAATTATTTTGTATATAAACTTTATATGACGATAAATATTTTGATACTTAGGTGACAGGATATAGATCTCTTTGTACTATAATTATTACAGAGAAAATCTTTATATATTTTGATATTTGGTTGATACTAGCTCCATAGACATTAAAAAACCTTATTTGCAAACTAAAGTTTTCATCTTCTAGGGGCATTTAATTATTTGTTAATTCAAGTAATTAATATGTCACAAGGACAAGAACTTGTATAAATTTGTTGCTGTGTGGAAAAAACATTACAGTTTTTGCTGCCATATTAAGAATTTTATTTTAATACTTCTAATAACTAATTGTTTTTTATCTCAAATTGTTCAGGAAAAAGGCGGTATACGTTTCTGTATCATATAAATTATTATAATTTTAAATTACTTAAATCTTTTTAAATTAATGAAGCTATTTTCAAACTAAGGAACGAAGTCCTGAAGTGGTCACACGATTGATAGTGCAAGAAGTGGCATATAGAGGAAGTTTGAGGCCAAAAATAGTTAAGAGATTGAATGATTTGAATTTTTATTCTTAGAACCTTAGGTTACTGAGAAAGTGAGGCATAGGTAGACTTTTGGCTTCTGTTACTTGGGACCTATGTCCAAGTTTCAATTTTCGTTTTAGTTGTACATATCATTGAGTTGTAAATATAATTTGTTTTAGTTACCAAAAAAAATGAAGTTATCTTTTATATCGATAATATAATATGGGGAATAAGTCTCTTTATTTGTGAGATATGTACTGAAAGATACCGTTTCGTTTGACGATTAAAAAGATAATCTCAAACAGAAAATTGCGCATAATAATATGATACTTGATTCCGCATAGAACACCAGCGTAGGCTTAACAAGATGAGTTGCAAATTTTGATCTTCTTGCATGGTAATCTAATTTCCTCCAATAAAGATTTAAAGGTAACTTAGGTAGAATGTGACTAGTTGCTACAAAAGATAAAGAGGAAACTCCACACACCAAAAAATTACCCTACTATAAAATTATTAGGAATTAAGAACAAACATATTTAAGGCGAAAAGGGGGGAACTCAAGTGGACAATGTGGATAAGGGAGTAACATGTCCATTTTCCCAGACTAGTTCAGAAAGATCACTTTCAAAGAATGTTTTGTGTAGAGCCCTTACACATTGTTCTGCTTCACTATCATTTACTATCAATGAGATATTGACCTGAGCATCAGACACAAGTTGAGTGTTAATGTGAAGCACTAATATGCATAGGTATGATTTATGTATAGCTTTGAATAGAATAAGGTAGATTACCTTCGATGCACCTTGAGAGATCATTTGAACATTGACCCCATTGGTACGCAGAACGTGGAAAGCCTGTCATTTAATGCAACATGAATTACACTCAATAAAGTGGACACATTAAAAAGATGGATAATGATGTAAACTCGCATATAGGTGTCATATAACAGCATACCCGATAGTGATGACTTAAACAACATACAAGTTGATAGAATGAGACGCTAAGCATGTGGCCTAAGGTGGCTAGAGACTCCGGTAATAAATCATATGCAAAGAGACACTACTCAAGAGTCATAATAATGAACTACAGTTTAACTAGGTTAAGAAAGCATGAGATAGCATATTAGATAATGCACCACAATGGGCGCTAAAGTACCCAAGCAATAGTAATTCTATACTACAGAAAAAGGTTCTGGAATAATAAACAAATGGAGTTCTGCTGGTCACCAAATGAAGGATTATAATGGTCAGTAATAAGAGCTCTTAAAGCACCTTTTCGAGAATCAGAGAGGACCTCTGGACGTTCCCAATCAGAGAGATGATTGATCTGTGTTGAAGTAGATTCACAACTGCAATTTTCTCAAGTTCTTCCACGACATGATCAAGCTCCTGCTCAGTTCAGTAATTTAGAATGTTAAAACACACCACTGAAAGAACCATAAAATGCACGAATGAATTTATGCACATGCAGGAAAGATATCCGCATAAGAGGAGAGTTGAGACAAAATTTAGCAAACTACTAGTGAACACTTGAGAAACAATAGTACGTTGGCTGAAAAGTTGCAATTTATTGATGCGGCCAAGAAATTAAGAAGAAAGTCGTACGCTTGCCTGCTGAATCAATTCTCTGCTCCAAAGTTTTGATGGGTCCAATGTCAAGGAAATACTAACTTCACTTGTCGCAACGACGTCAACCGATATACCTAAATCTTCAAAGATGGAGAAAACCTGAAGAAGCTACAAACCACATTAGATTCTGGACTTGAGGGCAAAGTACTAAAAAGTGATGTGGAAAGTACCTTTGCAAGGAAACCAAATTGACCGAGCATGCGGGTACTCACGATATCCAACATGGTTACATTTCGTTTCAGAACAATACTTGTAAGTACTGCCTGCAAGCACGTACGGGATGAAACCCAGTTATGTTTTTGTTATTTCTGCAGATAAAAGAATTAGTGGAAAAAGCTGTTCTAACCTTACTCATATCTCTTGCTCTACAGATAAGGGTACCAGGAGCTTTAGGATTATATGAGTTTTTAACCCTAACAGGAATATCACCCTCTCTTGCCGGCCTCATGGACTGTGGATGAAGGACCTGTAGAAGGATTTCAAGGAGATTCAAAGCTATTCTAAATATAATAATTAGACTGCAAAATTATGGATAGACCTTCCATCTTAATTCTTGCCGTGATAAATATTCTATGATTTTTTCAACTTTGAATTGTAATCTTTTCCATTAAACTATAACTTTCCTGAACCTTATAACAATTGTTAATAATAAAACATTTGCAACTTAGATACAGTAATCCAAATCAAACTCCTTAACCAAATACCACATCGAATGGTCAAACAAACTGGTCACGAAAGAAGTTCTATAGACATTGTGGCTTCCAGTATGATGGACTATGAATCTCAGTTGACAAGTGAAAGGGACAAAGTGGTATAAAGTTGCTCCTAGCGCTCGAGATTCTACGCAACAGCTACAGATACATCCATGTCATTGAATAGTTATAAATTTTTCACCTCAGAGAGAGGATCTCTGAAAAACTTCTTGACTAGCTAGCTTGTCTGGAAGAGTAATAGTACTACTCTATTAATTAGGAAAAATCACTAAGACAAGCTACAATTGGCATTTCCAGGATGAAAATAATTTCTGAAAAAGCTAACAAGACCTGTGCGCCAAAGTATGCAAGTTCAGCTGCCTCATCAAAAGTTAGATAAGGCACAGGCTGTGCACGTGGATATATGTTGGGATCACATGTCAAAACACCATCAACATCCTTCCAGACCTGTCAGTCATATAACAAAGGATCTTCAATCAAACTGGCTTCTTGATTGCAACTTCTTGTGCTTATACAAGCAAGGGTGCAAATTAAATATGTGATAAAAATAGTAAACCAGAATGCCAGATTCATCTGGTAACCTGAATTTCTCGTAATCCCAATGCTTTACCAATGGTTGTAGCAGTCAAGTCACTACCGCCCCTACCTAGTGTAGTCACAGCACAAGTCCTCCAACCCTTCAATTGGATACACATATCAGTGTCAACTCTAAGGAAAGGCAAACCAAAAAGAAATGCATGAAGAAATTAAAAAAAGAAGCACCTTTCCC